GCGGTGTTCGAAATGTAAGATCGCTATTAATACTTCTAAAAATATGATTGTGAAACATTATGGTAGAGCATTATGCTATATTCATTCCAACTGTTTTCAGATATAATTGCCAAGATCCTAATTGTTACAATGATCTTGCACGATTGAGAGGCGTGAAATATTTTACATGGGAAGATACATTAAAATTAGTACAGCAGGATCCAGTATGTTTATATATATTTCACTGAATCTTAATATTTAAATATATGACAAAATATATAATAAAACTTAAAAATAATATATTTAAAAATTTACAGGGAACGCATCCCGACGGCGGAGCTCATGCTAAATTTACAAACTATAGTTTTGATGTTAAAGAATTCCTGAGAATTGTTTCACTTGCAAGAAATCACGTAAAACATCATAAAGCATTTAACAAGTTTATCAATAATTTTCACAGTGAAATACAAAATGACACTAAGACAATGGATAATAAAGAATCGATACAATCTACTAACGCAAAAGAATCGATTCGGTTGCAAGAAAAGTCGAATATATTATCCAAAGATGAATTGTGAACAAAATTTAGGTACTAAATTTTAAAAATTTAGGTATGTTAATAAAACAGGTTGAATGATGTGATCTGAAATGCAGTAAACCATTTGTTATTGAACAAATCTTTTTACTTATTTTTTTATATTAATGTACATTTTAATAAATAAATGTGTGATGTAATTCTTTCGATATGTTTGAGTTGCTTTTGGCAGTATTTTCTCTTAATTGCTAATTCTTAATTACAAAGTGTTTATATAGTATCTATATAATATTTAATTATATATATATTTGACCATATAAAAATTAACATAATTTATAATAAAAAATAATTTTCTGTACATGTGTTCAGATATAATCATTTTTAGCGATATAGAAACAAATATGAAAATACTTGAAAGAATAATACTTTCAGCATAATTATCAAAAATTCTATTTCAAAAGTTGGAAATTCATAAAAATTGGCTTATTACAATTTTTGTATACTTTTCATAATTTAACTGATATTTGTAATCTATAAAGTATCAATGTAGAAAATATACTTATAGCCATATATATAATTAATATTAATACAGCCACCAATTGTTTTGCATATAATGTGTAGACTAACATATTGACAAGACCAGTCAAAACATTACTAAAAAGGAAGAAAAACAGACCATTGTAATTAACAGCATCACAAATTTCCAAAGATCTCTTAACTACACATTCTTTATTTTCTTTCCTATCACTCTCAACATTTTTCTTTAAATTTAATCGCAAGCTTTTACTTAATTTCTTTGTTTTGCTTTCATTGCATGGTTCACTCACTGCATAATTAGTTATATCTAGCACAATCTCTACAAGTAATAACAGAGTAAGCAGTGTAGTTGTCAAAGTCAATATCCACATACAATATCCAGCATTGGCTAATCTTCTTGAAACCTTTGAGTATGAATCACATAATAACGTTGCGATACAAGCTTGTGCAGATATCAAAGATAACTTAATACATAACAACATAGACTCATTGTAGCTTGCTTCAAATTCAAGACCAAGATATAGTTTTACAGAAATGTTTAATTTTGTACATGAATTTTGATATGTGGAATGGATTAATCTTCCAACAGCTACACCAATAAAATACAGACCTACATAACCAGGTACAGAAACTAAGCCTTCTCGATTGGCGGAGAAAAAATCATCTCTTGGACTGTCTCTTAAAACCCATGTCTTTAAACCTTTTGTGCTCATAATATACTCATGCATACCCAATATCCAAGCACCTGAGAATAGCGAATACTTTGAGCTAATCGTACTGGTAATCATACTAGTGAATAATTTAACAATAGCTAAAGTTATAAAGAAATTCCAATGAATGCCATATTCGGTGACATGCTTCTGATATCCTATATACTCGACTGCTACAAAACGCCCAAAACCCAACACCAAGAGAGGTACACAGCTTTGGAAACAATTTGTTATATTTTTCGTTAGAGTCTCCTGAAATCCCGTTTGGCGATAAGTCGAAAAGTCTCGAGCTTCTGGTGCAACTAAGGCATTGGCTAATATATAAAGCCCAACACCCGTATCCATTAAACTATATCCAAACACTTCTGTCTTAGCAAACTTTCGCGGAAAGATTCGAAAGTCGACAGCTAATATACAAATCGCAGTTATAATATTGGTTAACGCGCGAAAGTTAGTTATGAAGGGCCTTTTACCGGTAACCGGCCGCACATCTAAATTAGAAAGATGGGTGCCCTTACTTCCTAACAACATTATATTTAATGCAGAGATAGTTATCATTACGATGCATACATTACCGATGTGTTCCGATAGTACAGTACAGCACAAAATAGTTGGGATAACAATTAGTACGAATTCTATGACAACTCTCACATTCTTGTGGGTGTATTTCCTAAGGACTCCCAGAGTCGTTGTTGTCAACAAGATGCCGCAAACGTTCGGTAAAAGCGTGAAAATTACCTCTTGCGGTGTCGTACCTCCGTGATTAGAAACGAACGCTTCTTGTTCAAGTCGATATTGTTCCTTGCCCAACGCCATCGTTGCAGATACATTGAATTTCTCAAGCGTTCTCTTCGAGCGTTCCAATCCAACTATAATTTTGATATAAGAAGCCATTGATATAAGAAGCATACTTGACGTAGACAACAAACTTACAGTTGCGGACGATCTTTCTGTTAATTCATAATTGCTCGGGTGTTTCGCGACAAATATGCAAAATGTTGTATGTAAATATGCATAGTGCAAATTCGCATAGCAACGCCATCATATCTACTGTGTTGAAAATTGTAATTATTTAGCCACTTTTTCACACTGTCGATAAAATCGTTATTTGGTGTATATTCGCGCTAACGCTAATAATACTCGCCAAATACAAACACAAACCACAAATAAGTGCGCAGAAAAATAGAATAGCATAATCAAGAAGTAGAAAATTACATGGAAGGAAAATCTAAAAGATCTTTTCCTTTTGAAGAAAATTGTATGATAAGCAATAAAATAAAAAAGATTAAAGTGCATATCAATCAAATGTCAAATAATATGGAAAATGTATCGACATCTCAACATAATTTTGTAAAACATTCCAAAGTACAATCCTTGGAGGGAGATAAGAAACTAAATAAAGAACATGTTTCGCTTGTTGAAAAAATGATGCCAACAAATGCTGCAGATTACATAGGACAAAAACAAATTATTGGTCCAGGCACTGTCTTGGGCTATTTACTGGAAAAGGGAGAGATTTCCAGTATGATATTTTGGGGTCCACCTGGATGTGGAAAGGTAATTTTATTCTTTACTATTTTTTATACTCTTTACTTTTATACTTTATAGTAATTATCTTTGTACTTTATATTTTAGACATCCTTAACCAATATAATAGCATGTTTAAGTAAAGAAACAGCAGGTGATAATATGCACATTATAAATTTATCTGCAATCAATTCTGGTGTAAAAAATATAAGAGATGCTGTTACCACAGCAAAGAACAAATCCAGATTTGGATGCAAAACTATTGTTGTTATGGATGATATTCATTGTTTCAACAAGCTTCAGCAAGATATATTTTTGCCGCATGTAGAGGCAGGAACATTCACTTTAATTGGGTGTACTACTGAAAACCCATCTTATAGTTTGAATCCAGCTTTGCTAAGTCGCTGTCGTGTGTTTGTACTAAATAAATTAACAGAATGCGATATAACACAGATTCTTCATAAGGCAATAGAATACCTGAATGGAAGCATATTCAATGTACAAGAAAAAAATGAAATGAACAGAAAGCAGTTACCGTCCCATTCAAATCTTAAATTTCGTATCAATAATGATACAATACAGTGGCTAGCAGAAGCATGCGATGGTGATGCACGTGTAGCTTTGAATACTCTAGAATTAGCAGTGCTTGCAAAAAAAACAGATAGATTAAAAACATTATGTAATGATATTATTCTGAAAGATATTAAAGAGAATTTAATAAAAGCACATGTGCTTTCTGAGAAAGAAACCAATCAGAGCCATCACATGTATTCTGCTCTTCATAAATCAATAAGAGCTGGTAAAGCAAATGCTTCCCTATATTGGATAGCTAGAATTATGGCAGCTAAGGAAGATCCAGTAAACATTGCAAGACGGTTAGTTAGGATATCTAGTGAGGATATTGGTCTAGCTGATCCAGATGCTTTAGGTAAAAAAAGAGATTGTTTTCACATAGTATACATAAATAAATTGTTCTTAAAATTTAGGTGTAGCTGTTGATACAATGTATGGATGTCAAATGATTGGTATGCCAGAGTGCGATGTACTTTTGGGACAATGTACAATTTATTTAGCGAAAGCACCAAAGTCTCGATCAGTATACAATGCGTTAAAAGCAGCTGAGAACATTATTTTGGGACACAATGGCCCCCAGCCTGCTATGCCATTACATATAAGACGTAAGATTTTATTCCTTTGCTTATGTAATTATCACTTATTTCATTGCTTTTGTAATTATTGCTTATTTTTAATATTACAATAACCTACCCTCTTTTCCTTACAGATACTGATTGTTTACCTACAGAATTACAGCACATCAATTTTTTTCAAGAGAAAGAGCATGTGAATATTTAAAAGTAATACTATATGGTTTTTTATATTATATTTATATTCACATAATTTTTTTTTATTAACCTTCTCAACTTCCAAGATACAATTGTTATCAATTTCCATATATTTTAAGCTTAAACTAATCAATTGATTAACTTCTTACTAATCAAGATACATCAGCTTATATTATAGATATTTGTCTCAAAATTAGCGAGTTATTTAAAGTACACGCATATCTCTATACACCAAACTTTATAAATATCGATCTTGTACGAGAGCTTTATTTATATACGATACATTTGATTTTAGCGCGCCATTGTCGCACACGCAAATCGACCAATGACGTTAAGCGCTACGTAATGCGTCAGCCATTGGCTGATACCTCAGTTCACGTTGTTTAGCGTGGGACAGAACATACTGGTCTTGTCGTTGTAAAATCTTTTCACTTACATCATATTTTTAAAGACGGCTCGACGCACGGCAGACGCTCGGAATCGTGACAGCCTGTTCCGCGCACGTGTCGCACGTTAAATTACAGTGCCTGCCCTACATGCAGCGTCGCTCGCCCTATCCATAACGCTATGAAAATCTGGACGTCCGAACATATCTTCGAGTAAGTATGGAGTGAACGCGGATATTCACTTCACATCGCGCTTGATTACTTCTTCATCGACATACATTATTCGGCATTATAACTCGGCTATACTCCTAACAACCTCGTTATCGTTAATCGTTTTACTTGTTACATTTCATGAATAAGGCAACTTCTCGTTAGGGAGGGGGAAGCAAAAATGTAGGTTATATATGTATATATCTGTGACATTTAAAATTCTACAATACATGTATATCTTTTTAATTTGCTTTTTAGAATTATTAAACATTGTATTCTATTTCAAAAGTATAAAAGAAAATTAAAATAGCACATTAATTTAATCTATGTTTCGTATATGAAATTAACGTTTTCTCTCAGAACAGAATAAGTTTGCCAAATAATTTTTGAGAGTTATATCGCGATATACATTCTTCTAGACAATAATAATTTTAATAAATCTTTTTGCCCCCTCTGCAGTCATCCATGGGAAACGGTAGCACAAGCTGCATGGAGAAAATACCCGAATCCTATGGTACCTTCGGTAATCGGGGCAGATGTCATCGACAGAAAAGTAGTTGACGGTGTTCTTCACACCCACAGACTCGTTGTATCTACACAATGGGGATTTCCTAAATGGACGCAAGCGGTAAGTCTTACAATTTTGCCACGTGCCACTGCATTATCGCGCGCGCGTTCGATATCATATCTAACCTAACATAACCCAACCTTTTCTTGAACGGTAATCTGTGAATGTCAGAGTTAATATAATTGTAATAGTTTCTTAACTTATTTTATGTAAATAATATTCATACAGATTAAATGAAAAATTAGTCTTTTTATATAAGATTTTTTATTCAGTATAAATTTCACTGTATAAAGCTCGATACCAATACTATTTCAATACCGTTTGTTAATATATGAGAAACCAATACAATTGTATCGACTCTGAATACGCTGATATAGACATACGAGCTTGTTACGTGCTTGTTACGTACTTGTTACGTATAGCTTTGTCACGTGCCATTTATGAAATACTTACCTAGCATCCCGCGGATGTATTGATATATTGTTGTACATGTGATCTTTTAAATCTCGTATATAGCATTTTTACGAATGAATAAATTTGTTTCGTAATTCAAAATATATACACAGGGCTATGAATATACACACAGGGCTATGAATATTTTGTCGTGCGAAATGCTGTAGTATTGTTTTGCAATAATGTAATTAGCATAAAGGAACATTCCTTTTTGCTGTGGATACATTTTTTGTTTAAATATTAGTCAGCTGTTGACTTCAAGAAATAAAATAGTATCTCAGCAAGAGAATGCTACAATGCAATTTACATTACAATGCAAAGTTTGAAACAAAAGAATTTTTACTTATGTCTTACATGTTCCATGAAAGCGCGATATTATAATGCAAATTTTGAAATTTAATACGAAGAAACGTCATCGCGTGTGATTCATTCTGTACTCACTCAAATCTAATCTTGCTACTTAATCGTTAATGAGGAGAGATTACATATGATTGCACAATATAGCACGACATTGAACTTTTCTATTTTAAGAAGATAAAAAATTGCTCTATGTATCGAGGCAGCAATAAAGCTGTGTTGTAAAGAATGTTTCATTGCGTTTTCAAGTATATAGCCACGATGCCGATGTACAAGGTCGATGCTCAAGACAGAACAGAGCGCAATGGTCGAGTTGCGCGATGGTAACCTTGCGACAACTTATCCACAGCTCGGTTCATCGATTTTTATAACGCACTCTCGTGGAATGTAGATAAAACCACTTCATTCATGCGAAAATTTATCAAAACAACCTTTCCGAGACCTGTGCGACTTCGTGTTGTCCGCTAGTGACGCTTAAATAAGTTATCGACTCGCGTTGATTACGCAGAAACCTTTTACAATTTAATCTTCCAACTTTTCTTGTCACGCGAAGTCACTGTTAACTATACTGCTGTTATGTACTTGGCGGAAGAAGATATAACTTAGAGTGACATAATTTGAACAACTATAAACTTTTTTGATTGTTTATCTCTTGGTCTTTTGTACAAATGTAGCATGTTCGATTGCATTTCAAAAAATATATAGATATCTTACTTATAGTCACTTTTAATCGCTTGACTTGAATAGCTCTAAATCTCTTGCATGGAAAATTTAAATTTTGATATCGTTGTCTTTGCCATGTCTCTTTAGATTGAAATAAATCTTTGAATATATGATACACGCGATGGTGTTGGTATTTATATCTTGTTAATGACTAATATTTTAGAGTGCACTGACTCTTAATATCAGTCGAATCAGGCATGATACATATATCAGTCTTGATAGCATCAGTGAAGAACTGAACTTTGAACACAACTGCAAACGTTACAATATGATTAACATTTTGTGATGACGCAATTAGCATGTTGGTTGACGTTTGACTTCCCAATGAACTTTTGCATGAACAAGAGCTATTCGTGACATACAGCGGTATTTTAGATCGAAATACAAAATGTTCGATAATTTTTCACAAGTTTGTTACACATTATTTTAAAAGTTTATAGCGAATAGAATGTAGTAGAACATGTATATAATTTGCGAAAATTTATCAAAACAACCTTTCCGAGACCTGTGCGACTTCGTGTTGTCCGCTAGTGACGCTTAAATAAGTTATCGACTCGCGTTGATTACGCAGAAACCTTTTACAATTTAATCTTCCAACTTTTCTTGTCACGCGAAGTCACTGTTAACTATACTGCTGTTATGTACTTGGCGGAAGAAGATATAACTTAGAGTGACATAATTTGAACAACTATAAACTTTTTTGATTGTTTATCTCTTGGTCTTTTGTACAAATGTAGCATGTTCGATTGCATTTTAAAAAATATATAGATATCTTACTTATAGTCACTTTTAATCGCTTGACTTGAATAGCTCTAAATCTCTTGCATGGAAAATTTAAATTTTGATATCGTTGTCTTTGCCATGTCTCTTTAGATTGAAATAAATCTTTGAATATATGATACACGCGATGGTGTTGGTATTTATATCTTGTTAATGACTAATATTTTAGAGTGCACTGACTCTTAATATCAGTCGAATCAGGCATGATACATATATCAGTCTTGATAGCATCAGTGAAGAACTGAACTTTGAACACAACTGCAAACGTTACAATATGATTAACATTTTGTGATGACGCAATTAGCATGTTGGTTGACGTTTGACTTCCCAATGAACTTTTGCATGAACAAGAGCTATTCGTGACATACAGCGGTATTTTAGATCGAAATACAAAATGTTCGATAATTTTTCACAAGTTTGTTACACATTATTTTAAAAGTTTATAGCGAATAGAACATGTATATAATTTTATTTTACTTTTCTTATTTTATTATAGCTTGTATGAAATGTAGTCTATACATGAATTTTTTTATATGGAAAATAGCGTAATTTTTTTACGAATTTTTTTGTGAGAAATGCAGGGAAAGTATAGTTCATTAATTACATTCCGCCAGTTTATTCTTTCATCCGATGACAAGATGATGATTTCTGCGTTTTGCGTTTATTTTAATCAATAGATTCTACATTTGCTGATATAAGATGGCAATTATATATTGACATTACGTAACAATTTTAAATTATGGAAAAAATATCATTACCTTTTTTATTTCATTAAATTTTTGCATCCACATCGAGCGTTTTTGCATCTTGATGCATAACTTATGCGTATTTCGGCACAGCTTTTTCATGGTCATTTCGCGCAATAAAATTGATATTGCACTGATCTCTCCGGCGGACGATAAGAAATTAATCCGTGAACCGGCGTAACGAGAATTATCCAACCTCTTTCTGAGGTAGCCCGTGGCGGGTCGACAAAAACTCTCGCGCCGCTCATCCCAGCTTAGCAATCTCCGGCAGCGTTTCGCAGAGATCCGGAAATTCGAAACTTTCGACAAACGTGCGCAAAAAAAAAAGGTGCCGGGGACTCGGGGAATTGCAAAACAACATTCGCGCCCGGCATCAACTTTCATAATGAGCGCGCTCAATGTTACGCCGTTTGGCAATCGTCCAGCCAGACGCGCCCGCTTTCTGGGATATCCTGGCAAACCTTTCCATCCTTCGCTATCCCTTGGTGCCTTTGCCGGCATACTCTGGAGATTCTGGGGCGTCGAATCCCTTTCTCGTGGATCGCTTCCTCTCGTCGAATTTTCTATAAGCTCGGCCATTTCGCTGGGTCGTTGTGCACCATTCGCTCGAATGGCTTGACTCACGATATCATATACAGGGTGCTCGAATAACGACGGTACATAAAGTGATCGTTCAGACGGTTGACGGTAAGAAAGAGCGTGCAAGAAATTTGCGATATTTTACACGAGGGCTTAAAATACTTTCATTCATATTATCGAAATACTTGATAAGATTGATAATAAATGATTTCATCTTCACGTAGTTTTTTCATTTTTATTTTTAATTCTTTCTTTTAATTATTATTGCAAATAATACATATGTATTAAATAATGAAGAAGTAATAAATGTGAATGAAAGAGAGAGAGAGAGAGAGAGAGTTATATTCTTTTTGAATAATGTAAAACATTTAATGAATATATTTAAATTTAAATTAGGACAAATTTTTAGTATACCAAAAATGTTATTCTTTAGAGAGAGAAAAGTTGAAAATTTTAATATAGTACAAATACAGTGTCGAGCAGGTGTACGATCATATGTAGTAGTGGTATTTTTCGAGCACTCTACGTAAATGTTACCGTAGAGAGAGCTGAAAGTTGCAGTATTTAGATACGCCGAAATTACTTAACGAATGGAAAAGTGCGCAGACCATTCGTGACGCTTTCGCCGACACCGTTTTCAATGCTGCGTCCACCGGCGCGCTATTCCGAGTAATTAGCGGATGCACTCGACAACGAAACGCGTTCTGGAAAAAAGTTTACTTATCGCGCCTGTTCGCCCAAAACTCTCGAATTGGCAGCCGAGCATCGTATAAGCAGTCCGGTTTATTCGAGCGACTAATTAGAATATGCATAATTAATCGCAAGGGGAATAATAATTAAAGTGTACTTAGCATGATGCCTGCCCAATTAGCGTCTTTCTAATTACCTAATTACTCATGCTAATTTGTTATTAATATCGCGCAGCTCCGCAAACTTATGAAAAGCGACGTTCTATTTCTTCTCGGCCGGAATAGGCGGTTCAGACCGCCGGAACGTTTATGCTTTCGAATTATTTATCGTCGGCGATTAGTTCTAATAATTATCCGATGCAAGTGGTTGCTGCTGCGTTCCAAAATTGCATTGCAAAATTGTACGCCAAAATTCACGAAGTAAAATTGGTTCATCGATCACCATGTATCGTGTTTGTTGCTAGAATGACTTTATTTTTTATTTGACATTTTATGGTTAATTTTCTGTCCACTTTCAACGAAAAAGTGTCAGTTTTGCTACGATTAATAATTTTGTTATAACTCTTTGCAATTTTCATCAAGCTCGACAACTTAAACATATTTTGCACGACAATTGAATAAATGATATCATTAATTTCAGGTTTTCGTGTATGCTTCTCGTATATAATTGTGAAAGCAGGATAATGCAACCGTCACTATAGGTGTTTAACGAAATTGATTACCGTCCACGTTCTGACGCATAACCAATTAATAGTCGCTTATCGCTTTCTATAGAGCCCAGTGCTATTCATGTAAATATCGTCTGTTTGTTTAATTCGCCTCATGTACATATAAACATGCTGATATGAGTACATAGTATATTTCCATAAAGGTCCGTTGTTTTACCTTCCCGATATTGAACATGAATGCTACTGCATATAATTCCTGCAAATGATATCTTATTAATGCCATTTATAATGGATCAATAATAGTCAGTAGAATAACTAAATACGGAGTTAATTATAATTTGTTGTAATGAAGAATATTTGCACTTGATGGATTATCGGGCTCTATAGTAATCATATAATGACATGATATAGAATTGAAAGCAACTCTGTAGACAAGTATATGTGTGTCCTCTATATACAAGTATATATTGATTCTAAGTTAATTTTATCTATTCTATTGTATAATATTACGCTATGATAAATAATTCACGAATTACTCTAATTTCTCATTGCACTTCTTTTTTCGCTCTACTGAGCACGCTATGAAAAGTCGTGAGATCGAGTCCAAGTAGCTCTCGAAGACTGAAACATACCATTGAAGTTTGGAAGGCTTTATCGTCGAATTCAATGCGGAAAGTTTGAAACCGGAAGTGCTTGTCTATAGCACTTCCGAGATTTTTATCGGTGGCTGAATCGGTTTTTAGCAGTTCGCCAGCCAGTTCTCGCCGAAACTACATTTAAATAGTGCGGACTTTTTTTTTTACGCGAGTAAAATTTTTACGTTGATGCCAGGGCTTATTATACGAGCGCACGTTTCCTCTTTTTTTTTACAGTTAATTGGCTACGCGAACTTGTGTTACGCCAGCGAGCGCAGCGAGGTCGATCCTGTGAATAGAGAAATGATCCTCAGGACGCATAATGTAAGTACTTTTTATTTGTTTTTTGTTAAAAAATGAGTAGAAAGAAAAAAATTGTTACATTGTTTTGCGATTCTGCAACGTGCAATTTACGATGAATTCTGCATTATAAAATGTAGTCGCAATAGATATAATTATTCAAAACAAACACTGTCGACATGTTATGATTTTTAAGTTTACGTGTGTCATTAATAAAAAGAGTTTCTCGGTGCATATAACGTAAATGTAAAAGTAAACGTATTGGATATTTTGATGTTTCAAGAAAACGAGTGCGCGTTAAAGAGGAGAGATTTCCTTGCATAAGCTGCTAACATTTTTCGCGAAGAGCACGTGTAGTATCAAAACATAAAAGAAATATCTTTAATTATATTTTTGTACTTTCGATTGTATTTCTGGTATGTGCAAAATTCTGTCAACTCATGAAATATATTTCTCCGCAATACACACATACTACTCAATTAGAATCGTATAAATATATTTTCCGCGCGTTTTTCATTGATTTTCATAATGTATATACGTTTCTTGTTTTCTCTCTGTAAGAGATGTTTAATCGTATTTGTAATCGTATTTGATACGAGTGCATTGCAATCGGTTCAATTGCAATCTCAAATTAAATACCCGCAGAGTAATATCATTATATTGCTGAAATGAATTTTTGGCAGCATCGACAACCCTTTTTTTGCTATTTTTACAATCTAATCTTAGGCAGTGATATTAGTATGCGTGGGGAAAATGTTGGTAATTTCAGGGCAGTGACGATTATCGCTATTAGAGACTTGGCACTATAATTATTTCTGTTTGGCCGTTCAATTTTTTGGTTTCAAAACTAGCGAACATAAATGATAAAATTGGCAATTTTGCGGCCGTAGATGCATGTCCGCAGAAATAATATTCGTCTCGGCGGCTGGTTATCAATAGAAACGTCACGTCGGAACGCGTCGCCTACGGTTCCTCGTTTTTGCGATGGCGAAGCGAGCATTTTTGGACAATTTTTCGACCATGACGAGATTGCAAATGCGTTGTTGTTCATGTCGCAAAATGACATAATAGAGTATCAACCGGAAAGAAAGAATACCAAGCGAGGTTGCTCCATTAGCGAGTAATAAAGCATTCTTCCCGCAACGCTGTTTCTCTTTATATGTTTTGTTGTTGAAATCATGCAAATGTTATGGATAAATGAACTTTGTTTTGTAATAATTCAGAATTATTGTACCGTATTATTATTATCTATTGAATCATTATTGATGCCTGAATTTATCATATTTTTTCTTATATGATATATATTATATTATTTATATTATATATTGATGGTAAAAATTGGATTTTTATTTTATTTCTTCGATTCTTTTTTTTTTAAACTACAAAAAAAGAAAATTGTAGGAAAATACTTTCTGGTTTGATTGTAGAGCTTCGAGTCTCTATAGTTAGGTATCATATTAAATTAAAATTTAGACATATGGATATTAATACAGCTTCAATCTTTTAATATTACGAAATAAGTCACTAAACGATTTTTCTCATTATATCATCTTTTTTGCATTAAGTGGGAGGTGTACTTGGTCAAGACGAATCAATATTTCCCCAAATTGTGCGAAATTTTTCACGCTATATTTATGTTCAAAGATACTTGGAAATTTTCAATATTTTTCAACACAGGGATCTCATAAAAAATTGACAATTTCCGCGCATAGTTTCCTAGCGTTGCATGTGCAACACGTTTCGGATAGAGGTGCGTCGGCGCAAAATCGCCAGATTTTTTCCGAGCCGCTATCAGAAAACGATTTTCTAGTCCCGATTTACATAACATCCGTTCTAAGGAATATATATATGCATAGTAAAGACCCTCCGGAGAAGTATCTAGCTGCAAGCTCGAAGAGATCGACGCGTCTGAGATCGGGGGGTGAACGTGTTGAAGGGGAAGCGAGAGAGCTGAAACGCACGCCACTACCGCATCCAGAAGGTTGGATATGATAGGTTATTGATGCGCGCATTACCGGAGGTTGCATAGCTGGGAGAGCTCCTTGGCGGGGTGTATCAGCTGGGGTGTCAGGGAAAGGGCGGTGGGATGCGGTAACCGAGGAGAGTAAAAAGGAAAGGAGAGAGGGAAGGGGTGGACGGTGGTATTGGTCGCGGCTTTCCCGTTCGCATCGAAGATCATCCCCCGCTTCGTCGACGGAAAAGAGACCAAGAGAAATGCGGGGGCGGTAGATGCATTACTGGTATGATGAACGATCCGCAGGTGGCTTAAAGCAAAAGGAGGAGAGGAGTCCCTCTTTCTCCCACATCTACGAGGAGCTGTTACGTCGATCTTTTATATCCATCGAGATTCCATATGTATCTGCGCGCGAGTACATTATGTACCTAAGATCGCACTCGCATGCTCTGGTTTCCGGCTAATTCGTACGAGAGAGTGCTTTCACAAGCGGGTAAATCGGCGTACGCTGAGCGATGATGTACTCGCGGGGATAACTGAAGTATGTGACTGAACGGAATGATAGAGCGAGAGTAAATCGCTTTGTAAAGGCCGGTGTGGCAGTTCCATTAGCTATACGTGCGATACTTTAGCGGCAATTTGTTGCTCGAAATGTTTATCAATGATTAATGATAAAAATATGAGAATTCTAAGCTTATTTTTAAACGTATAAAAGAGAGAAGTAGAATAATGGATCGCGATCGGTTACGTAAAATGGCTAATAGATTCACCATTTTTGATATTTATGTAGCAAAGTGCAACGACGGACCGTGTTATTTTTTTTCCAGATATACTACGGGACGTAAAGATAATACTTAAAAAAAACGTTGCATTGTGGAGTTGGATGGACGCTATTGTGTGCCACATGTAAACCGATACGACGCAAAGACAAATCGGAGAGTGTCTATAGTATTAATGCGGAATGCTATATACAACGCAAGATGCAGTCGCGCATAATCAATTTCGCTTCGAATCTGAAGGTAGATATTGCACATATCGTTGCGACAATAAATTCGTCTTTATTCTCTCATCGATCATTTTACGGGTGTAATTATGCCATTTTTATTCACGCGGATGTCTTACGTATATAATTTACACGACCATCTCACGCAGGGTTAGATGGCGAAATACGATATTGCGTGCGCATACATTACGTCGCAAAATATCCAACAATTGCGAGACTAGAAATGGGGATGATTTAGGAGAAATCTTGGTGCGTCACCGGAGATCGCTGCGTGTACTTGATGCCTCGAATGAGACAGTCTTTCACTGTATTTCGACTCCATCTTTCGCTCGCGGGAGAGTCGACGTCATCTTTCTTGTTCGTGCCACCCTCTTTCCCGTCGAGAAATGTCTCCGCAATTAAGATTGCGGCCGAATTCTCTTCGGTATGCGCTATTCGCCTGCTAGCATGTCTCACGAATTCTCGTATTAATGTGACACGGCGCGCTTTGAGAAATAAAGTTTACGGTTAAAATAAACATTACTAGAAACTTTGTTGAGAAATGTCAGTTGTGTAAAAGAGACATGCAATAATTAGTGTTACGATGTCGTAGCTCGTGCGATATTATATTATAAATTCATTACATTTTCAAAAAAACTTCTAGATTAAAAGTAAACTAAATTAATCGCGATATAGTTTTTAATATGAGAGAATTGATCTACAATAATTATATATTTATTAAATGTTATATTTATATAAGAAATAATATATTTAATTATATATACGCTTTGTTGCTAGATTTACTGCTATAATAATTTTTTTACATAATTTCTCCAAAATTGATAAAATTTCCATAATTTTTAATGGAAATTAAAAAGTATTAATTTAAAAAGTATTAATTTTCGTTATATTGATTTTCATAAGCATCATGAAATAGCAAGATGTAATAATTTATTCATGCGGTTAAATTATGCTTCCATCCTACCTTATATCTTTTTAAAGTATACGATTGTCCCTCAAAAATGATACCGTCCGTTGTTGATTATTGTAATCTATAAGGATGTTTATCACTTTACGGATGAACTCGGACTGTAACTGAGCAATCCTCTCACGGCGTTTACATGTTTCCTAATGTGCCTGCAGGCATGTGATACAGATAGACATGTACGCGTACGTTATATACGATTCCGAACGCGAATATAATTCGCTCAAGCGAGAAAATCGAGGCGGACGACGCGTGGTAGAAACGTAAGCTCGGTAAATTTCAGATGTACAACTAGTCGAATTTACGGGAGATATCTTTTACCAATCTAGCATTCTGGGTTCAGAGCTGATAGGACTATGGCATTACACATACGTTGCGCCGTAACAAGCTACTGTATCGTCGATCTTAGGTATATGCACGTTATATTGTTACAGGACCGAACGTAATGGGATAGCTAGATATCGTTTGCGAGGATCATAATCACATATAACGCGGCTATTAAGACGGTCACGTCTTGGAATAATTGTGTTGCGCGTACACGCAATGGATTTGACGGATTTCCATGCCAATCGTAAGGCATTATCTTCAGGAGATTACTTTCGCAACTGGGTATTAGTCCGTATATAGGAGGATCACAGTCAGCACGTGGTTCTTAAGATTCTCTCTCTCTCTCTCTCTCTAATTGCTTTAGCATACCGAGTGTGATAGATTTCTGTAACAACCATGAGTCGATATGCTTTCCATGAAATAATTTGCCCGATTTGCTATTAGTCAATAGTAATATCAACAGTTCTGGAATAAATTGTTGGAATATTGAAATCATGAGTTTTTCTCTTATTTCTTTTTATGTATATATTAAATAGGTATATAATTTTTTTATTTATAGTCTGTACGGAAAAATTATCGCACGTTCCATGTAAATCTCACATTTTATCGGGACAAACAGATTGATACTATACAAAAGCCAATTATTTTAAAGAAATCAATGAAATCATTAAAATTTAAAGTTCTTCTAATGTTGAGTTGACGTAAATACAGTTAACGACGAGAGATCGCAATATTATCGCAATTATATTACTACGTGTCGAAGTTATCATTTTCGC